TTTTGGTTAATTGATGAAACCCTAAGTGCTAACCTAGTTTATCAAAGTGATTATGAGATAGGTAGCACTACTCCAAGTGATGAAGCAATGGCGAAGATCATGACGATGGTGATGGCATGGTGATGATCAAATGCTTGAACTTGGAAAAGAAGAAAGAGAAAAACAAAAGGCTTAAGGTAAAGGTATAAATTGTAGGAGCTATTTTGTTTTAGTGATCGAGACACTTAGCGAGTGTGATCACATTTAGGATTGATAGCCGTACTATTAAGAGGGGTGAAACTCATATCGTAATGCGGTTATCAAAGTGCCACTAGATGCTTTAACTCATTGCATATGCATTTAGGATCTAGTGGAATGCTAACACCCTTGAAAATGATATGTGAAAATATGCTAACACATGTGCACAAGGTGATACACTTGGTGGTTGGCACATTTGATCAAGGGTGGTGAAGTTTGGGTGCAAGGGTAAGAAACTCCACCGGCGGAGTGTCCGCCCGTAGAATGCGGACAGTTCGACGGTGCCATTAGTGCCCTAAACAGAAAAGACGGAGGTCACTAGAAGTGACCGGACGCTAGCCTCGGTTGGACTGGCGCGTCCGGTTAGGTGTAACAGCGAAGACGCTGGCGTCGGTCAAACGACCGGACACTGGGTCGCTCTGCGACCGGACGCTGGCAGTGTGCGTTCGGTCAGTGCTAACGTATGCTGACGTGAGGCGCACAGAGGAGACGTTGTGTGACCGGACGCTGGGTGTGTTCGGTCGAGCATGACCGGACGTGTCCGGTCGTGAAAATCCGCGTTTGGAACCTTACTGGAAACGACCGGACGCTGAGGTCCAGCGTCCGGTCACTTTCTAACTGACGCGTCCGGTCATCACTTGACCGTTGAAATCAGGCGATCGACGTTTGAAGCCGATGACACGTGGCGCACATCGCACGACCGGACGCTGAGGTCCAGCGTCCGGTCAATATGACCGGAGCGTCCGGTCGGCCCGTGTTCAGTGCGGTGAGGAGTCCAACGGCTCTATTTCGTGGGGGCTTCTATTTAAGCCCCATGGCCGGTTCAAACTCATTCTCTTGGCCATTTTTCTTTGACATAGCAACCTTGTGAGCTTAACCAAAGCCCTCCCACTCATCTCCATCATTGATCCATCATCATTGTGAGATTGGGAGAGAATCCAAGTGCATTGCTTGAGTGATTGCATCTAGAAGCACTTGGTATTCGTGTTTCGCTGTGGGTTTTGCTTGTTACTCTTGGTGGTTGCCACCACCTAGACAGCTTGGTGCAGCGGTGGAGGATCGGCACGAGTTGGTGATTGTTCGTGGCCGTCTCCGATGATTGTGAGGGGAGTTGTACCTTCCCCAGCGGAGTGCCGAAAGGTAACTTTAGTAAATTGCTCGTGTCATTGAGTTCACTTGTGGGTAGGTTCTTGCGGTGTCCTATTGTGTGGACGAGGTTCGTGCAACACCTCTTAGCCGCCGAACCACCAAGTGTTGAACGACACAACGGGGACTAGCGTGCCGGCAAGCACGTGAACCTCGGGAGAAAAATTGGTTGTCTCTTGCCCTTTGAAATTCTCCCAGTGATTGATTTAGTATTCATATTGTGATTGGTTCACTCCTCTACACGACGGTATAATCACCCTACTCACTCATTTATATTATTACAAACTAGTTGTGACAAGCTCTTTAGTGTAATTAGAATTGAGAGCTTGCTTTGTTAGTTTAAGTTTATCTAGTGAAGCTCTTTAGAGTAGCATTTTTGAGAGCTCTTAGTGAGTAGTAATATTGCAAGCTGTGTGCCTAGTAATCATTGTAACTAGAATTATTGGATAGGTGGCTTGCAACCCTTGTAGAGCTAGACCAAGTTTGTATTTCGCTATTTGTCATACTAATCAAATTGCTCTAGTTGATTTGTAGATTTTTAAATAGGCTATTCACCCCCTCCCCTCTAGCCATATTAGGACCTTTCACCGTCTCAGTTTCCATGGTTTTGGCTTCCTGTAGATCTATCTTCTATCTCTGTGTTTACATGGAACTATCTAAATGTATATATCAAGGATCCTATAAATGTATATTATGTACATGTTGTGTATATATGCTAAACGATTCAGCTTTCCATGCAAACTTTTAACCTGACAGGTATTTCTTTTATGCCCACAAGGTACAACCATGTATGTGTGATGCGTGTTCATTTACTTGCATATTTTATTTGGTTGTCTGCTTATCTAATAACAGTAGTTAAGCAGTTTGAATGACCGCTCTTTTTTCATCCATGTTTAAGAATATTATAAGGCTCCCCTATTATACAAAATTTCATCTGTATTCACTTCTCGTCTTGCAACCAATTAACACTGTATATTGATTCCAGTTCTGAATTGTCGCGATTATCTCAAAAATATTAATCGCTTGACTGTTTTTTGCAGGCTAATCACACAATCCATCAGCCCAGCACATGGGTTCTCTTCATTAGAGGCACGATGTCATCTAAATAGGCCATCCCTACCCATTTAAGTCGCCAACTGCTCTGATCATCTTAGCTCCAACAGATTCTAAATGATCAGGTATACATCCTACTCTCTCCCATTTAACTCTTGACGAGAAGTGATGCATTAAGGGTTAATTACAAGCTATTAGTTCCGGTCGAATTTGAATTGTAAATTTGAAAAAAAATTTACGGAAAAATATACTGTAGGGGCGGTTCTAGACTGAACCGCCCCTACAAACAGGTATTATAGGGGCGGCTGATAACACCAGCCGTATCTACAAATCAATTTGTAGGGGCGGTCTGGAAACCGCTCCTACAAATACATGATTTATAGAGACGGTATGATAGAGGCGGCCTCTACAAAGCCTTACCCGCCACCTCCATAAATCATTCCTGTAGTAGTGGCTCTAGGCATGCATGCACGGTGTCGATGTCCAAAACAACGGCGGGCGTGGTGTGGCCGGGAAGGATTCATCAGCTAACAATGCATCAGACAGCAGCAGTAGCTTTAGCGTATCTTCCCTAATCTCATTTTCTGACGTAATTAATAACCTTGTATATAATATAATACTGAGTCGTCTGAAGTCTGAAGAAAAGGGTGCGTGTCCACCTAATAGTTGGCGTTAAATAAGCGATAGCGGTAGATATGGTAGGAGATACGTGACAAATATAGAATCGTCCGCTAGTTACATATAAATTGGCTGATCCATCAAACTTTGTTAATTGCCGCCATACTAGATCGACGGCAGAGCTCATCACCTTGCAATTATATATAAAGTGAACCATAATAAATAAGGGCAACTTGGTGATGTGCCTTTATGCGAGTCCAGATTACACGATCGGGATGACGCAGTGCCCAACAAGATGCTCAGGAAGCCGGCCACCGGCCTACCGTAGGAGAGCACTGAAATGAGAGGGAAGGCCGCACGGCATGTGTTGCTAATCAGCATCGCCGTTGCATCTATCTCCATGTCCGTTCCTGTCCTGGCACGATAAAACAACGGAGCAGATTTTATCTGGTTGTTTAGTAGAGTAGATCCGAGGATTCGTTGCGGCACTGCTACGTCAAAGATCTCATCGATTTAGAAGTACCCCCCTTGAGAGCAGGGGTGATTCTCAATTTAAACGTCTCTCTTGTAACCATGTCCTTCATGTTACCTATAGATGAGCCAGCCACCTAAGTGCATGATTGGGCAAACCGATCAAGAATTGTGAAAAAATCGAGTAATATCTGGAGCACTGTGGTCCACAGTTAACCTTTGAATGCATAATAAAATATAACATTATTTAGTCGAGTCCATTTTATACCCTGAACATATATCGCTGAATTTGGAAACAACCCCGCACTCTCATGTCAGACAACGTGTAAAAAAACCGGACAAAATACTCCTTTAACCATTTGAAAGTGATTTTTTTTGTTAGGTGGTTTTGCTAATGTAGCCGTGGACGTAGTCTCTCTTATACAAAGGTATAGCCTTTTCAGACAAAGTTTATATTAAAATTTTCGAGATGGACGCCAAATACAACTTTGCAGGAGCCACCTTGATCCTTTCACGCTAGTAATAATAGCAAGATGTTTGGTTTGTAACAAATCTACACTATGCTGTAGTTGAAGTGCATATCATGTAACTATACAAGTACAAGATATTTCTGTTCTTATCAAATGATTGTGCCACAAAACAAGCACTTGTTGTGTTCGCCGTGCACCTAATATTAGGCTAATTTTCTTTAATTTTTTTTGGCCAATGATAGTAGAGTGCCTGGCAGCCTGAAACAATTTTCAACTACAAAGTCAACTATATTGTCTCCATTTCAATTGCTATTTTGGTCAAACTTGAGATGCCTTGGAATGACTTATAATTTGAAATGGAGAGAGTATTAAACTTTCTTAAACTTAACTAGATTCATAGGAAATATTACCAATATTTATATCTCTAAATTAATTTATTAGAAAAAAATATAGTGGTTAATTGACAGTTATTACGCAGTATTTATTTTATATGTATTTATCATTGATCAAGCTAGAGACTTGTCAAAAACGATTTTATTTTTATTTTATTTATTTATTTATTTTAAACGAAGGGAGGAAGGTCCCGTTTTGAGCAGCGGCATCTTGCAAATGCAAACTTGCAAAGACGGCATCCAAACAGGCAGTGCCGCGAGCGAAACACTGTGGCAGCAGGAAACTTGGGTCCAACGGCACCGGTGCGAGCAGAGACCCCCGCAGACGAGCAGAAGAAGGGTCCACTGCTCGACCGGAAGGAAGGCCCCGGACCAGAACGTGGTGAAAACGGAGACTTGGGGGCGACGAAACCAACTCCAACCGCCGCAGACAGCAGAGCCTGTCGCTGGGCGCTGGCCCCGTATAAGAATCCGCCTCCGATTGCAGGCAACTCAAGCGCCGCACGAGTTCACCCGAGGAACCCAGCCCCACCCTTCGCGCGCGCGTCCGTCCGTCTTCGCCGCTAAACCCTACTCGCCGGCGAGAGAAGAGGAAGCCCATCCATCGCCGACAATGGCGTCCCGTAAGAAGGCTCCGTCTCCGCTTAATTTTTCTGACCCCCCGCCCCGCGCGTCCTTGTTGATGTGATGATAAGCAGTAAAGCAATTCTGATCTGCGCGTGCGCGTGCAGGCGTCAAGTTTGAGAACTCGTGCGAGGTGGGCGTCTTCGCGAGGCTCACCAACGCCTACTGCCTCGTCCCCGACGGCGCCTCCGAGGGCTTCTACAGGTCGGTCTCGGTCTCGGCTTCTTCATTCGCGAACCATAAATAAATCTTAGTATATTCCTGCTGCGAATCTGAGATCGCAATTGATTCCGTCCTGTCGATACTGAACTCTGACGACCGCGGCATGCATGCAGTGTGCTCGAGGGCGAGCTCGCCGGCGCCGTCACCGTGGTCAGGACCTCCGTCGCCGGCACCAGGATCGTCGGGAGGCTCTGCGTCGGTGAGGACTGCGCGTCGCTCTTTCATCCTCGTGAATTTGATTTGCTCTGAAGCTTGCCTAACATGATTGGTGTCCGTGTTACTCTTGTGTGCAAGGTAACAAGAGAGGGCTGCTGCTTCCCCATACCGCCACCGACCAAGGTACTACGATCGCATGTTGCAAATTGCATGGTGTGCCCAAAATAGTTGATCAATCGCATTGTTGCGAATCGACCATGGGTTGATCGAAGAGCAGTGATGAATTCAGTAGCTGCTGTTTTGGGGCTGATTGTTTTAACATGTGAGTTGAGAAAATAGTGGGAACAGGGGTGAATTGATTGTAAAAAAATAGTGGGAACAGGGGTGACTTATTCGGTCTGTTCGCTGGTTGGTTTCTGGGCTGATATTGACTGATGCTGATTTATTGTGAGAGAAAAATACTGTTGACTGGCTGGTTTGTGCTGGCTGAAACAACAAGCGAACAGGCTGATTGTAAACACAGGGCAAGCGTCGCATGGCATCGTTCGTAGTATAAGGTTCCTCTTTCACCGACAGACCACGGTCTGGTGGTCTGACAGACTGTTGTTTCTCCTGTTCCCAGAGATCCAGCACCTGAGGAACAGCCTGCCCGATGAAGTGGTGGTCAAGTGCGTCGACGAGCGCCTTTCCGCCCTGGGAAACTGCATTGCCTGCAACGACCATGTTGCTCTCACACACCCTGACCTCGACAAGGCAAGCCCCTACCCCTTGTACTCTCGATTCTCAATACAACTAACATATTATGCATATACAGTACATTCCTGAATCCTGATAAGCAAAGCAGCTGGTCCAATTCAGAATGCCTGCCGTCCTGGTCTCATGTGATGTGTGACCGACAGGCTCTCACCTTACTACTAATTTTCTCTGCAACAGGAAACTGAAGAAGTCATCTCAGATGTTCTCGGTGTGGAGGTGTTCAGGCAAACGATCGCGGGGAACATCCTGGTTGGGAGCTACTGCACCTTCACCAACAAAGGAGGACTCGTAAGCCCATCAATCAACAGAGCCATCTTCTTATCGCCGCGAGCAGAGCTGAATTCGGATGCTGAACGTGAACGGTAACCCCTGTGTTTTTCATGTGCTGTGTGCAGGTTCACCCGCAGACGTCGGTAGAGGACCTGGACGAGCTGTCGACGCTGCTGCAGGTGCCCATGGTCGCCGGCACCGTCAACAGGGGCAGCGAGGTCGTCTCCGCCGGCATGGCCGTCAATGACTGGACGGCCTTCTGCGGCTCCGACACCACGGCGACCGAGGTGTCGGTGGTCGAGAGCGTCTTCAGGCTCAGGGACCCCCGCCCAGGGGCAGGGGCGCTGGGCTCGGACGTCAAGAACTCCATGGTTCAGGATTTCTTTACGAGTTGAGTTGAGTTAGGATGGATCTTGGGCTTTTGCCAGAGCCAAGGCAAAAGGCTCTGCTGACTTTTGCTACTGGAGAGTGGAGACCAATCGCATTGGCCGAATTGCCTGCAGCTGCATTGCTGTACCATTGAGTACTAGCATTTGTATCGTGAAAACTGAAAACTTACTATCAGAAACTCAGAAGTAAAATGTTTTTCTTTCCTACCATTGCCACGCTAGCTGCTAACATTCCCTTCCGAGGAATAGATCGGTTCGCACGCCACAATTGCGCCACCAAATTTTATCGTTGAGACTTTCAAGTGAATTAGTACAAAATCAATTGAACTGACCCTCCATCAAAACAACTGATAATTTAGCACAAAAAAGTTGATAATTTAGCACAAAAAGTACCCCCTATATTGCTATACCAGCACAGTGCGAGTGAGCGACGTCAGCCGGCTGTCCATAAGGCCGTTGAGCATGTCAAGAAACCTGCAAACTATTTCATCAGCTGCAGGTTTCAGAAGCCACCGTCAAACTTTTGCTCACAGGTCACAGCTGCCAATTCGGATTTGGAACTGCAAAAGGCCAATGATGTGCGAAAGGCTCATCTTGATTCTACTGGATCAATGAAATGGATAACAAAAAATATGAAGAGATAACACAGGATTTCTAGGGCACTTCATCAAATTTCTATGACTCAAGAAGTTCAGCAAAGCGCTCATGCAAACAGACACTAGCAGTTCATTACAAGACTAGGACGTTATTATCTCACCATATTTCTTTAGCAGAATGCCAAAAACAGCACATGCGTTGCATGGCAACATGATGGATCTCACACTACTCCAGAATCTAATCGAGCAAGTCTGATATTGACTTCTTCTTGACAAACGGATCAGTAGCCGCAATCAAAGTTGCCAAGGCACTGTTGGGGAAAATGTTGTCAGCCTTCATCCTCTCTTTGAATCCATAAGCAGGGGCCTTAGCATGTAGATAGGAATGGAGCAGCAACTGGTACATCCTGATCCTCCCAGTGTAGCCGATCTGCCGCAACTTGTTGAACACTTTCTCAGAGTTGTGGATGTCTCCTTTCTTTGAGTAGCTATCAAGCAGCTTCATGTACGAGCTGTAATTAGGCTTGATGTAGTTCTTCAGAGATAGCTTGTGCAACAGGGACTCGGCTTTCTCCACCTCTCCGGCGTCAACATATAGCTTCACAAGTGCATCCAAAGTTGAGGTCCCAAACTTGACATGGTTCTCATCCATCCGCTTTACTAGTTCCTTACCTTTGTCTAAGAGGTTCTGATCAGCATACACCTTTAGCAAAGAGTTGTAGAATTTGGAAGAGAGTGTTTTCCATTTCACAAGCATATCCTCGAAAACCTTCTCTGCCTTCTCAACATCACCAAGCTTACCAAAGGCCTCTATAGCAGACAGGCACTCATCTAGGCGAGTATTATCCTCGCACACCTTCCAAATTCTTTCCACATCATCACTATTGCCCAGAAAAGCATGTAAAGGTAAAAGAATCTTGCAAGCAGCACGATTTTTCTGGATATCATCACCCTCCATAGACTCCAAAAGTGTCTCTGCTTTCTCACGCTGACCATTAAATATGTAGTGCTTGGCAATTGTAGCATTAAACATGAGATCTGGCTCAATGCCATCTTTCTCCATTGATTCAACCACTTTCTCCATAGCTTCTATATCTCCAACCAATCCCTTGGCATCTACAAGGAGCCTGTAAGTAAACAGAGATGGTTTCACATCCTCCTTTTCCATCATTGTGAGAACATCAGCAATCTTCTTCTTGTCCATCCTTTTGTAGAGTAGCAGAAGCTGATTGAAAGAAAATGTTGTACGCGGAAATCCAAGATCCTTCATCCTATTAAAAACTTCCTCTGATTTTTTGACATTGGCTGCAGCAACACAATTGGCCAAAAGTGTTCTATACACAACCTCACCCCTATGAGATGCAGGAATTTTCTCAATATACCGTTCTGCTTTATGAAGACCATAGACCTTAGCTGTTAAATCAACGCGTGCAGCGTAATCACGCTCTACAAGTTCGAGCAGCTGTGATTTTTGAACCCATTCAACAAGCTGCAGAGAAATAGTGACAACATTATTTCACAAGACAGAACAGCACGCATATGAAGATATGAAGGTACACAATCACCTTGATACAACATCAGTTATCTATTCATAGCATACAGTGCATAATTGAATGTTTAATTGAGCGATTGTTTCTGATTACAGATCATCAAATAATGGATATCCTATCTGGATTTTGGAAAGTGGTAGCATGAAGTTGAACACGTGCATTTAGCATGAAGGTTGTTACCATTTTATTCATTATTTTTGAAACCAACTATAAGTGTGCACCTACATCACTAGCTGTGTTGCTTTCCTCAGTGGTGTTGTACGACTACTGCTGATGTGTACATAGGATAAATGTACTGGCAGTTGATAAAGGTATAAATTAGAAATGCAAAGAAAGGCTCCAGAATTAAGTATCAAGATTTTAGTAAGAACAATGAGAGAGCAAAGTTATACTGAGCAGAAAGCAACAAATAGCCTTTTGCGATAAACAAAACAAAAGCACCAAGGCGTTACTTAGAACTATACAGAATCACAGATACACCAGCAAAGATGCAGTTTGCATCATTCATATGATCTGAAATTATCATGCTATGCTTTCATTAGGCAACATTTTAGCCAACCCCTTCTAAGCTTTACTTAAGGATCTTTGCACTTTTCTTGTCTTTACCCTCTGTAAGATGATTAAAAATAAGTACAGGGAAAAAATCTACATGCTAAGTACCTATTTTCACCTTAAAAAATCTGCATTTCAGCATTAACTGATCAGACAAATCGTGCGCCTGGGAGCACCTGCCTGTGCCAGGCAGGTTTTCCAGGGTCACAAGCAAACATGCTTCTATGTTGCTGGTTAAATACTTATTTTCACATTGAACAAGTTATTGCAAGTTGAGTAAAGCATATCGTTCGTTTCACATATTATCCAGCGTACTAAGTGTTCTTAAAAAAATTTAAATTTAGAGCCACCTCCTGGTTAAGTACCTCCAATCCAGCATACTAAATGTTTGCACCCGATTTAAATATAAAACCACCTCTCAGTAGGTTGAATGTTAAATACCTCCAAGGCTTTGGAGTACCACTTCCGCTTTCGAAGATTAAGAAGGACATAATAGAGTTCGCCCCTATCAAATGCATTGCCATCCTTTGCCCATTTCTCAAGCGCTGAAGTGAGTTGATGCCTCGGAGCTTCCAACACAGTCTTGAGGAAGATGGAACCAGAGGTCCTTTTAATGTACTCCTTCTCAGGTTTTGCATCAGCATCCACATCAGGCAAGCCAATTTCATCAGCGGCATCCTCATCTGAACTATCTTCAGATGTCAGCCCAGCATCATTTTTACCAGCTTCTGGTGGAACCTCAAGATCAGAAAATCCGTCCTCCAACTCATCATCCTTGTCACCAGAATTTTCACCTGGCTGAGAGGAGAAACCCCTACTCCAAGCAAACTGGCCAGATGAAAATGACAATTGGAAGGCTGGTGGCTTTGGCTTATGATAGCAGCACGCTTTCTGACAGTCTGCCTCGTGGTGCTCTTCTACATTCTTTGCATCGGCAGTTAGCAGCACCTCAAGACTCGCGCAACCACGGGCACTCACAGCTTTTTGGGTGTGGAACCTGAATCAGAATCAAGCAGTTAGTAAAAGCTGCAAACCAATTATTAGAACAAATTGCATGCACAACATGACATAGAAGAGCGATCTTGAGCATGTTTTCACATGCTGATAAAAAACATGAAAGATAAACAGGCAATTGAATGTGAAGTTGAACAAACAAGTATGAGAAGTTGCTCTTCAATAAAAAAAACATCATAATGCACTCGTAATAGCCAATCTCACAATATATAAACAAACTATAGACAAGGAAATATAAGAAATCATAACAGATGCGGATGGTTTACTCTTAACCTTGGCAATTACATAGAAACAGTTATCCTTAAATCGGCACAGAAACACAATACGCCCAACATATTGTTAAATATACCAACAATCTCAACTTGGCAATGAACAATTCAACAAAGATTTAAACTTTATCCCCTCGTAATGTTATACCCGTGTGTTCCAAGCAATCGCGACCTATTAACAGGGGATCACGCATTTCCGAACTCTGAAGATAAAAATGAACGGATCTACTTGGCGCTGCGACGCAATCACGCAATAAGCATAGCGAATAAGGAGCCCTACGCGGATCCAACAGGCCGCCGCTAAAACGACGGATACAGGGGGGTGACAGCAAGAGACCGAATCGGAGAACCAGCGGCCGGGAGGATCACTACCTGAGGGGGTTGCCAGCTCGGCGGAGAGCCCACATGGCGTCGCTGCCAGAAGGTTCCGGGTGGCAGCGGCTGTCGAGAAGGCGTGGAGGAGGGAAGCTTTGAGGGGAGGGGAGGGAGCCAAGGAGGCGGCGGCTAAAACCCTAGCGGGCGGCTGCCTTTTGGAGGGAGAATGGGGAGGACCGGAGGATGAGTGAGGTCTAAAACCCTAGCGCAATGCGGAGCGGAGGCGCGGCGGAGCGGTTTGGTGGCCCCGTCCGGCTTACCTTAGCCCGGCGTGTTCCGCTTTTTTTTCCCCGCCAGAAGGGTGTTCACACTAATCCAGTCAGAACAGTGTTTCAGAAAGTTTCAATAAGCCGAAGGAGGCCGGTGACGGCCGCGGCCTGCGGGTGTGATTTTTAGATATTTCTGCGGTTCGGCCAGAGCCAGCGCTACGGCCACAAGCGAAGTGTACACGGGAATCGGTGTGTTGGTTGGGCCTTGCTCCCACATGCTCGATGAAGCATTTGTGTCGGATATCTATACCCGGGTATCTGAACCAAAGGATTAATGAGCATCATATCGGTTCATCCGATGGTTAAGGACGCAACTGTGGCCTCGTCCGACCCTAGGGGTCGGGCCACGCCTCGTCCGACTCCGAGGACAAGGTTTCCACCTCGCCTGATCCTAAGGCGTGGGCTGCGACTCCTCCGACCCTAGGGCGCGGGCTCCGACTCGCTCGTCCCCATGGGGAGGGCTCCGCCTCGTCCGACCCCCAAGGGTCGGATTCCGTCTCACTTGGCCCCCAAGGCGGTATTTTCGCCTCGCCCATTCTCTAGGGGTCGGATTTGCTACCGGACAAAGGCAAGTGGCCCCAGAGTGGGACCCGAACCGCTTCAACCACTACGACATGGAGGCACATGCCCAGGAGCACGTCTCGGACGCGTCCTGATGCGACTGGCGGTCACATTAGGCCATGCTGGGAGACTCACGTCGTCCACTGCGTCAACAGGGCAGCACTATGCTACCAACTCCCTGCCTGACCACCGTCCAACACTAGTCGACCGCGCATCAGTTGACTGGCACTGTACCGCCAGCCCCCCGTATGGCCTCTGTCAGGGAACCCTTTGACCATTCCGTCCGATCGGATGGGATGGAAGACAAGAACGGCGCACGACGCCCGCACATATACTGCAGCGGCCAACGGGACCATGGTGCGACGCCGCTGCCACCACGATCTACAGGGTCAGCGGGACCCATACGTAGAGGAGGACGACACACCCCCGGGAGCCTTATTTCTCTTTCTTTTTTCCCTCTTCCATTCTCTCGGTCTCTGGTATCCTGTTCTTTCCACTTGGTCTATAAAAAGGGAAGGCAGGGCACCGTTCTGGGGAGATCGATAGATCGAGCAGTAGAAGCATCGAGCAATCGAACCACAGAGACTTGGGAGCTCCTCCCTCTCTCGTCAGTTTGTAACCCCTACTACAAACTAAGTGCTGGTAACACGAGCAGCCCGAAACTGGACGTAGGGACATTCGGCCCAAACCAGTATAATCCTTGTGTCCTCTTAGCACACCATCCGGATCAGACGCGCGATATACAAATTTACTCGTTGATGTTTACTCAAAACACCGACAATTTGTTTTGATCATTATGTGTGCATAAAATTAGTGTTTCTCCCTCCATGTATGCAATTAAGGATCATTAACTATTAGATAAGACAATATTTTGTACTCTTAACGTTCATAATAACATATATGGATGACTAACTAAAGTGATATTTTATTCATAAACATTCTGTCCTATTTTTCAATAGATTGTTTGAGCCTACCCTAAAACTTTGGACCTTTAACGACTTTCAATTTGAAGTTATATATGTGTGATAATTTAAAATCTTAATTTTAACTTGAACTTAGTGCACATGTTGTATGCGAAAATAGGAGCTAAAGGTTATACACTAATCTACCTTAAAAGTGTCTTAAGCCAAAAAAGAGATTAGAGACCTGGCTCAAGCATTAAAAAATTGCACAGAACGCGCCATTACCAATTGTCACAACAAGCCCATCACTAACATCGGTTTTCCAGCAAGGTCTGACAAAGCACATGTAATCGGGAAAAATGCAGCAGACTCGATGCACAACAGTTAGACGCAAGGAGAGCGAAGGAAGGAGCGTCAAAGATGGGAGTGGAGCCAGTGATTGTTGGGATGGGCACAGTGTTGGAGAAGATATGGGTTGGCAAGTGTGGCGGGACAATATGAAATGATGCGATTTTATCGATAATGATGTGGGGATTAAAGATAGTACCTGCCTTAAACCCAAAGAACCTAATCACAGATGTGGGGAACCTATAGGCCTCAACCCTACCTTAGAATATATGGACTTTTTTTTGGCAAGTATATGGACTTTGTTTTTCCTATTTACCACTAACCAAAAAAAATTGGCCATTATGATATTGTGATATTTGTAAAATAGCACTACATACATAACTTTTATAGACATATTAATCATAATGTTCAATATATCACCGTGGGCCTATCTAATACTCAATATTTTTAATAACCCTCTCACAATTTATTAATCTTTTTTTATTATCATCACAAACTTGAGACCCCTTTTTAATGAAGGAAAAACATAGGAATTTGAAGCATTCAATTTCTATAGAAAAAATTCATATGAAGCTCTTTAAAACAAAATGTTGTTTTCCAGCAATTCTTATCAATTGGACCATTGTAATTATTTTGGAGGAAGCTAAACATATGAGCTCTAACTTTATTGTTTTGTTTCTTTTTTTCGTATATCAATCACTTTTTTGAGCAAACTATATCAATCACTTTCAAAGACATCTTTCTAAGCTTTCATTTGCTTTAAAATCCTGTGTAGGATTTAAAGGCATTTTTTTGTAGTTTTTCTTACTCGTGTGTTTTTGTAATTCCTTTGTTTCAAAGGGCTGATATTTCGAAACAGGGGCTACAGTCGGGAAGAAAGAAAAGATGATATCGGCCCGTTGGTCGCCGTCTCTACCAAACACGGGTTCCTCGGCCCGCCACCGCCGGTAACCGCCACCAGAACTCCAGAAGTAAGAGAAACCACGCGTGTCAGCCAGCCATTGGATCCCCACCATTGCGCGCTGTTCGGCGTGCGCATCCGATCCCCGTCTCCGTGCGGCTGTGTGAGGAGAGAAGGGAAGGGGAAGCAGGAGCAGGAGAGGTTCGTCATCGCGTGGTGACCGCGCCGCTCTGTTCCTCCGCCCCCTCCTCCTTCCGGCTCTCGCTGTCACATGTACGTGTACGTCCGCCGGCCCTATCCCACGCTCGATCTCCTGCCGCCCTACCCCTCTACTGCTCGATCTACTCGTCCTCTGTTCTGATCTGTTGCTTTTGCCGTGCTCCCTTTTGGTGGGTTTTTCTTTTTCTTTCTCCCCCCTCGGAGATCAGGTCGTGTGGCGCCGGGGGAGCTCTGATCCGGATGGTGCAGCGCCGCGGGATCGCCCACGGCCATGATTGATCGCGAACGAGCAGGTCAGAGATCTCTTACCCTAGATCTTGCTCTGTAACGCCATTTCCAGTATCGAAGGTCGCGTCTTGCGAGTGGTAGTGGCGAAAAGATGCGATTTTTCGTGGGTTTTCAGCGGAATTCTCTCTTTCTTTGTGTGGGGCTCCGGTCTTTGCAGTCTCACTGAGTGTGTAGATATTTAAGTTGCAGTAACTGCGTGAAATGCTATACTAGAGATGCCATTGTGCACGGAGGTGGTTTATTTTGCTGCAGAGTTTGGTGAGTTTGGTTGTGTGCTGGTGCTTCTGGGATTGGTAACTGATGGTAGCATAATATGTGATGGAATTCACTGAATGTAGTGATTCTTGCGTTTTGAGTGCAAGTTTGGTAGGGATAATTTTACGTTGCTGCTCACTGCTAATGGGGATATGTTGTGCCAGGAAAAGATATCCCCCCTCTGGCTATGCTTAATTATAGATTTCAAGCAACACCAGTCATTTGATTTGGTGGCAACATTGAAGTTTTCTTAGAATTCCAGCGGCTTACCCTGGTCCATCAGCATTACATTCATGACCATAATAACGTTTCAGGTTTGTTACATACCAACAGATCAATGGCCACATCCGACACCCCTACCAAAAACACCCATCGGAGTTTCAAAGTTTGTATATAAAAGAAACATAGCCCATGTCACACAGAACACCACGTCCAAGGCTATGCAAAGTAAACCATGCTAGGAAAACCAAAGGTATCATCCATTCTCAGATCGGTTCCTCATCATTGATCATGCCCCATCCATTGTAACTCTTGCTGGTCTGGTCACCAGAGTCGATAGCGACAGCTCTGAACTGCTGTAGGTGGCGAGTGGGGCACAGTTACTCCCAAGACTTGACCAACGAGAAGATGGATCGCTACAACTTTTGCATACCGCACCATATGCCATCCTGAAAACACATAGAATGTCTGAGCTTCCAAAAAGGCCCCACATCGCTGTGGAGCTAAACACATTTAGCACCCCATATGCCTTTTCTCACAGATCCAACGTTTTGCATCTGATTTAAAGTCACAACACTTCAGCTAGCTCCATCCACATTTAAGAGGCTACTAAGCATCCAAAAAATAGGTGGCAACATTGAAGTCAGTTTGTACTAATGGTTATCTGAAATGTTCTTTAATAATTTTTGTCTTGCTGGCTTGCTGCTACTATGCTATCACCGATTTCATCAGAGTGTCCTTGTTTATTTGTTATGATGTTTAGCACTAGTAGTGTAGCTTCTGCATCATGTTAAAAGAAGCTTGCACTAAAACCTGTCCCGAGGATGATTTCTCATGCAAACAAGTGTTCTTGAGTTTCCATACGCAGCAAAATCTTTGTATTGATTTGGGGGAAATGTGCTGGCTTTAGTGTTTTTTAGCGCCATGCTTTAAAAAAGGGCGTACCCAGTGCAGAGAGCTCCCGCTCTGTGCAGGGTCTGGGGAAGGGTGTCAGTGGCAAGCCTTACCCTCGCCTGTGCAATGCGAGGAGACCACGACTCGAACCCGGGACCTTCCGGTCACAGGCGGTAAGACTCTACCGCTTGCACTAGGCCATGCTTTAATTTCAGAATTATGTGGTAACTTAATTGGGTTTGGATGAATGTTTGAATTGGTTGTTTCAAATCATTTTGCTTAACCCTGTATGCAGCCGAACAAGCATTAGCAATATGAAGGCCTCTTTGCTAACTGCTATGCCACTTAGCTTTTAGTGCGTTAATTTAATATATGCGATTCTTGCAGTTTGTGAAAAGATATACTATGCTCAAAAAAATTATTGGGTGTGCGTTGACACAAATTGATATCAAGTGTAGCTGCTTATAGTACTTTTTTTTTCTTTGATAGAGAAATTGGTTGTATAGTGTCATATAATAGGGATGTGGGTGGTCATTTCACAATGTTTTTTTTGCTTGATCTAATATTCTCATGGTTAGGGTGCATGGTGGGTTGTGGACAAACATAATGAAACGGAGGGAGTAGTCAGCAGTTTGTCAGCATTAGCAACTACATGTAGCCCCTTTCGGAACGCATTGCTCATTGCTTTGAGGTCCAGAATTCCCCTGCTTCTACCTCTTGTCGTGTTTCCTACAAAAGGATCAGTAGCAGTTCTGTTTCAATGAGTTTCTGGCCCAAATGTTATAGGTGGGAACCGCAACATATCTATGCTACTCCTTCCAAAATACTTTGATAACCCCATGATGATCCAAATGATCCTTTTTATTTGAGTGCTTAACAATTGACCTGTGCTTCTAAACTTAACCTGATGTTTGTAACATTGAACAGAAACTTTTGGATGCCTCCAGAAAAATTGTAAAGCTCTGGATCAAAGCTTCACAAAACTCACATATTTTGCTGACAAAGCTGAAGCTTTAGCTAACATACTAGAGTTCAAATACTTGAAACATCACCTAGGATCACAGCATAACTCATCAATTACCTTTTGTGATAGAAGCTGCTGCTAGATATTAGCCACCAAACCTTGTGTTGTGGACCAGTCATTGTTACAGTTGACTTTGATTTTATGATTCTTTTGACTTTCCTTTTGCTTTGTCAGCCATATGTGTTGGGCCTTGGTGTACCAAGGGCAACTTTAGTGTTTAGAACAATCTCTTACAAACGTAGGACCCATATGAAGGGTGCTAGCTTGGCAAAATTTCTCCAGTGTTTAGAAATTCAGTTGGTTTTGGAATAGGATCCACCCAAAATGATATTGAAAGCAAAAAGTTGTATCCTCTCTCATCCCATAAAGTCTACCGACATTAAAAGGCGGGCCCTACAAAATTTGATTCCCTTGCATCGGTGCCTATTCTAGGTTAAGGCGCTTTCTTAGGACATAATTCAAACTTTGCTTTTTAATTATAGTAGAGATGCAATCATCTCTATTTTGCACCTCTCTTGCAACACTGTCGGAGCTGCCCTAACAATGCCTTTCTATTCTTGGTATTATTTTTTTCTTTGGTTGAATCTTTAAATATCTGGTCGCAACCTTAATTATATGCATATTAAATGTTCTGACTTCATGCATGGTTTTATTTCACAATCTTAATTGCACTGTTTCATTATTTTCTTATGTATGTAGTTTATTTGATGCAGAGGAAATGCAAGTCAATAATGAGGCACCACTAGGGTGCCTCAAGCCAAATATTTCTCAGTATAACTCTCCAGAGCAGAGAGGTGGAGTTGAAGGGTTTCCTGAGAACAATGAAAAAAGGAATGATATTGTTGCTGCGGAAAAAATCTGGGAGTCGTCTCCTATTCCAAATCAAGGCCTTAGCAGGCCCTTCTACCGACAAGAATTTTATGCCTGGCCATATATTTATTCAGATTATCAAATGGTGCGTCAGCCACTACCTTATGGTTTTGACAACCAATTTTATCAGATAAATAGGGACCACGGTTTCCCTATTGAGAACAGAGTTCAGTATCTTCCATTCAAGATGCTCCCTCAAGGTCACCCCCATGATGCACAGCTTCAGGAATTTCAGTATTTCGTGGTTATTGACTTTGAAGCAACCTGTGACAAGGTGAACAATCCATTTCCACAAGAAATCATTGAGTTTCCATCTGTCTTGGTTAACAGTGCAACTGGAAAACTCGAAGAATGCTTCCAAACATATGTTCGGCCGACGTATCATCAATTTTTGACCGATTTTTGCAAGGAGCTTACTGGCATACAGCAGATTCAGGTCAGTGCATAATCTGAATAATCATGAGGTCATAGTTCTGAATAAGTGTCATCATGATAGCTTAAGCTAATAGAATTTTGTGTTTTTGACTGACTAGTCATATATGTACTCAAGTGTATAGAAAGCAAGGAACCAGTTATTTTCAATGCAGTCTCGATTGTACAAGTTGTATAAACACACAAATAGCTTACTCTGAATTTCAAGCTACCTTTGGAAATGCAGATTATGTTCATCCTTTAGATGCTTGCGAAGTTAAAGGCCTGTTTATGACCCATAGTTTGTATGTGTGGTGTGGCAACAGGTGGGACCAGGAATTTGAGATAATAGGGGCTAAACAAATCAAAGAAACAACATTAGATGCATGGGGACATATGGTGCATATACCAACAAAATTTCTTGATACCATAAGGACTAAGTGCATAGAATAGGAGCATGAGTGGGGCCACGGTCCAGCCAGCAAGGCTAAGCAGCAGTTGTTTCCCTTGTGGCTGTGGCACCAGCGGCCAGCTACAGAGAGGGCGTGATGCATGGCTATGGGAAGGGGCGGGAGAGGAAGGGTCATGGACTTGCTGGCGGAGTGGCAGGCTGGTCCTGTCTTGCTCTTCCCCTTCCCCCTTTCTCCTTTTTCTTTCCTCCCTACTTTAGCATCTCGTTTTCTCCATTTCCTCTTTATGTTAGTATGGCGTTACCTTGCCTCGCCTCACAAGAACAGTGTTGTGAAGAGGGTAGGTTGCCATGCGTCTCCTTATACCTCCTTAAGGGCACTTCTTGGTAGCTAGTGAATTTCTTCAGAGGATTTTGCTATTACTTTTGAAATGATTTTTGAATCAAGACTCGGGACTGACCTATGTAGGCTCACATTTGGATTTGTTAAAGAAGATTTGCTAAGTCCTTTTATTTGCTTGAGAATAAAAATAAAATAATTAATATTCTGTTAGCCAATTTGGGTATAACTCAGTCAGAATTTATAATCATGCGACTACATGGTGAGGTTCAAGTTCTTGTAGTTCCTACTAATATATGGGAACACGGGATGCCTTTTGACCTATATGATCTGGTGCTACGCGAGTTTACTCCCATTCTTCTTTTCTGTTTGAAGCTTTATTACCTTTCTTTGGTATTTGAGATTTAAATTTGGCTACTATAATTATTCTGTACTCTACGTCATTATATATACTGACTACTATTGTTAGAGTACGTCAGGGGCCTATTGGGCCTGAGTTGGCTGTATAGCCCATTAGTGTTAGGGTTAATTAGAGATAAGGGTCGTTTACTTAAGGGTTAATTAAGCCTTGCTTGGGAGTCAATTAAACCTCTCTATATAAGGAGAGATGTATCGATCTAATCAAGCAAGAATTAAGAAGGAAATCCCTTTTCTCTTGCTCGGCCGTGGGCAAGGCCCCCGGCCTCCCTCGCAGCCCCAGCCGCCACAATTATGGTCGTGAACAGTACCCGCTTCACTGTAGCACCGCGGGTACTATAGCCCGACCGTCGCCGCCTCTCCCTCAACTCTCTCCCACTCAATCCTCCAGCCACATAACAACTATAGTTTATGAAAGCGTTTCTAAAGACAAATCAATGAATCATATATACTTATAGTTTTTATGTACCCAACCTTGTGGAAAATATTAATGTTCATACTCTAGAAAGCTCACACCTAGGCTAAGACGGCAAATAAAAGAAAGAAGGCGATGGTGTGTGTCGCCACACACTACTAAGTCGACACGCCGTCGTCATTGCTTGTGCCGCCGTTAAAGTCGATGTCCCACATCAAGCAAGCCTCTGCCATGCAGGGCAAGGGCAAGTCGCTGCCAGTAGCGGACGCATGATTTCAAGATCGCGTGTACATAGATAACCAACACATTGTCATATATAAAAATTTAAAAGATCTGAAAGCAAAGGGTGAAATACAAATAGTTCTTTAATCCATACACCTAAAGTCTCAACTAACTAAAATTACAAATGAAGTCGATGAGGGGGCTTTTGAAAATGAGAGATGTTTTCATTCGTATCATGTAGGAAAAATTCCTTCTCTATAAATATAATCAAACAACCATTCAACGCCAAAAATGCTCTTTCAACACTTGCTGTTGGAACTAGTAGCCGTAGGACTAAGGGTTTATTTGTACCTCTACTGCATAAAGATGTTAGAATAACTACATTTTTTTGGTTGATTGAGTTCCTACAGTTAATCTACTGAACTGACCACACCAAGTCATTAACACATGAATCAATAGCATCAAGACAACAAATATGAACTAGAATTAATGAATTGCCAATGCGCCCTTCACATGAATCTTTGGTGCCAACTTGCTAAGTTGTGGGCTCCCATGCCGCCTACAAGGGCAACGTGGGGTCTGTGGAAAAAGGGTCAGCCAACTTGCTAAGTTGTGGGCTGGTGATGCATAACTCCTTCAAAGCAGCCCTAAGTCACTTATTAGGGGGCCTTTGGGCTTTTGATTTTTTGTTGTAGCGATAGTGACCAAAATTACTAAGGAAATCTTGAAAGATGCGGCAGCCAGTGGGGTCCATCCTTAGTGTGGAACAGTAGCCCCTTTTTCAGGGACAGAACTTTTGGACTTTTTTTTTGGTCATGCTTTCAAGATGCTACCAATTCTTGCCGCCTTTAATCCTCCGTATACTGTGACACCGTGTGCACTTCAGCAGTTCAGCTCAACCTATGTGCTTCTAGTTTCTGACAAAATGAGCTTTTGCGGTTTGGTTGTGGACATGTGGTGCATGTCAATGCCATTTGCTGTTATATGGAGTATGGACCTTGTGAAGAGGTTGTGTGTGGTAATTAACAGTTTTTAGCAGATGCTGGTTGCTGATTGGACAAGCCAGCCATGGTAGCCCATACTTGACATTTAGGATATTAGTGGTAGTTGGTGCTGGAGGAGCAAGTACTTTGTGTCCTTTTCTGAGCAATTTGTAGAGTGATGTTATTCAATGATGGTACGATGAACTAAGGAAGTTGTCTTAAAAAAAGGAGCTAAGGAAGTTGTCTTAAAAAAAGGAACTAAGAGAAACAATTGACCATTATGATCATGCAATTCATAGTGTTCGTTTTGTACCAGCCAGTGATGGGTACATAACAAAAAAGTAATTAAGTACTTGTCACTGTGTTCAATGTAACATATAGGCATCTTTTAACTAGAAATTGATCCAGGAAACTTTAAACTATATGGAAGTCTTCCTTCCCTCTTCTGAAAGAAAATATAGCACATTAGATTTGATGACGACGTAGCATGCTCCTTAGCATTTCAAGGTTAGCTGATAATAAGTTCTTACTAACTGATCAATTTAATCCTTCTATTATTTCATTGAAATATTACTATTATAGTATTATTTATTATGTATTTTGGTTATTTCTAGTTGGAATGTTGGTGTTGGAGTTTTGGAGTTCAATATTTGTATAGTAAATCCAGTCGACAAATAAAGAGATCACCTTTGTTTTGTGTACCTTTGTTGAACACAATGGATATGCGAAACCACTGGTTCCATGGCATTATTGTTGTGCCAGTTTTGAATATTACTGTTGTCATATGAACACGATCCATGCATGTGTAGGTGGACAGAGGTGTGCCTCTAGGTGAAGCCTTACTCATGCACGATAAGTGGCTAGAGGACAAGGGCATCAAGAACACAAACTTTGCTATTGTGACCTGGTCTAACTGGGACTGCCGTACAATGCTGGAATCAGAATGCAGATTTAAGAGAATCAGGAAGCCCCCTTATTTTAACAGGTAACATATCTTGTATATACATGGTAATAAAGTTGAATTCTCAATTTTTATTGATCAGTATTGAGGAAAATTGTGTCTTTCTAGTGATGGATTATGTGCACTGTCTGATGCAGTGTGTATATCATAGATTTAGGGTTATGGGTCATGTAGGATGTGCTAATGACTACTATCCTGCTTCCACGTGTGTTTTATGAAAATTGCAGATTTGGCGTAAATTGGCATCCTGAACTTGAATTTTGGTGGGTTGCCACTCCAAATTTCAATTAGTGCGCTAGCCACCAATTTTGGTGTGTTAGATTTTTTTATCCAAAAAGTCTGCTGCCACACAGTGAACTGTACTGATGACAAATTGCAGGAACTGAAAAAAAATAGTTTTTCCAAATTGATCTCATTGATATTCATTTCTCCTGTCTCATTTCGAGCACCCCGACTTCCAAGTAGGTTGTGAGTGTGGATTTTGTATGCTAGAGATGTGGCATCCCTATTAGCAAATTCGGCATGTTGCAATGTTTCAAAGGTTAATCTAGAGACCACAACTGTAGCGCATACAAAGCTAAATAAACCTGCAAAAATTCAATTTCAGATTCATCCTTGATGCTCAGAAACAAAATGGACAAGCAGTCAATCCAGCATTGTTTGTCATGTAGTAACAATATCCCTTGTGGTGTTTGATGAAATCTTGAATCAAAGATGAATGAACTTGAATTTTTGCAGGTTTACCTAACTTTATGTGTACTACATCCATGGGTTTGGTAGATTTTATTGAACATTGCAACATGTTGGATTGATCATATGTTTGTTAGAGGTGATCATGATGCCCTGGTCACGAACCCCTAATTCCCACATTATGTTTCATTCACATGAGATATACATGACATTTGGATACTATAATATCTAAATGAACTGTGTGAATTAGGGCCCTGGGTAGTAATAGTGTGCAAATTTAATCTGTATCTTCTATCTTTTCATGCTTTGTAACATAAAAGTGAAGATGCGCGCTGTTTATTTTCCTCTTTGACAAGCTTGAATAGATAAGAGCCAGATTGTTAGATGATCTACATCAATTTTCAAAAAAGTGGGTGAGTGGTTCATGATTGTGGTTGCTCCTTACCTTCTGAAATATAATTTTTTTCAATGGGATTTTTATCTATGTAATTCAAAAGCTTCAATTTTCAATAAGTTAACACTTCCCAGCACCCACCATACTCACACCACAAATGTGTGCAAGCTCACTACTCGTGCTAGAGGTTTTGTGGATACTTCAGGGCCTCACATAGCACAGGTACAGCTAGATGGCAAACACCAGACAGGCTCTGATGTTGGTGCACAGTTAGTGGTGTACTGGTATGTTATGAAACCTGTGCGCCTGTCCATGGTGTCAATATAAAATTCCCAAACCACTTATACTCTGGTTGTTCTGTGTCCTGTCAAATTGTGCATTTACACTTATATACATATCAGGTTGTGCATTTACCAACCTCTACAATATTAATAATCTAAAGAAATAAATTACACTACTCGATCTCCATGAATTTTATGATAATGTATATACAAATTTGTAATAATTTGCAAGGGAATTTCATTTAACCCCCCGAAAGGTAGCTTTGTTTCTAATATACGCTACTAAGTTGAAAAACTGTATTTAGCACCCTATATCTCTACTAGCATTGCAAACCCATAGTTCTATTTTTGGCAGGACATGTAGCTTGCAAAGTTAAAATAAAAACCCAAGCCGTTTTATGCAATGTATAACTTATTGAATTGAAACCCCTGTGACAAAAAATGCACTTAAATGAAAAATGTAGCATCATTTCTGTCGTCTTGGAGCTCATCCTGCACCATCCGTAAACCCTAATACTATTGCAACAACCCAATAAAACAACCTATTAGGGGAGCCGTGTAAGTTTTTTCTGCTGTCCAATCTGCATGTCTTAGCCACCTTCGCCACTGTTCGAATCCCCAAGGTGTTGTTTTGCAATGGGAGCAGATATGTGGGGAGTGTTAAATGAACTATTTTAATTTATATAGGAGGGTGTTGCAACTGGTACTGAAATATAGGCTGGCATTTTCAATTTTCTGTATTTTGTAAGGACATTTTCAGGCATATCCACACAACATTTTTTATGTATTTTTATTAAAAAATGGATAGTCAAATTTTAGAGACTGTTACTGCATGTATCACAAAAGGTAGGGATATATTAATAGTGCAATGGCAGGATGGACCTTGAGTTATAATATCACTTCATACAATTTACTGCAGTGTGAAATATGGCCCCTTTGGAACACAGGAAATTTTCCTGTTCTGCGTTTTTCCTGTGAAAATGAACTGATTTTCCTGTACGATTCCTGTGAAATCCCTGTGTTCCAAAGGGGCCCTAAATCTTTTGATTTTCATGGCATTTTGAGCTTATAACCATGTTTCTCACGTTTTCTGCACCTAATCTTCTGGTTCTCATATCATTCACACTTATAGTCATAACACAGAGGATGGCAAAAATTTATGTGCAGTCTGCTCAAATACATGCTAACTTGAATTGGGTACCGATAGTTCATTGTAAAGCAGGCGATGAAATGCAAGGCACATTTTATCGGTCATCCTTCCTGGATTTAATGACCAGGAGTGATCCTAAGATTTATATGCTTAGAATATGTAGTCCATACTAAGATTTCCAAAGTAATCAATAAAGAAGAGTATTTGTAATAAGTGAGATAGGGGGTGAAGTGGTCGCCCTGGTACTGGTTACCCAAAACCAGGGGCTAGCGGTTTTGTGGGGTCTCTACTATACTAATTCTAGAAAGAAAAATTGGATCAGAAGCTATTATGCTGATCTTTTCAGGGCAGTCCTTGGTATTTTTACAGGAAATGTTTTCTCACAATAATATCAGGATCCTTTTTCAAAAAAAAAATGTCAGGATTGCTCACATTTTTTTTCTGCTATAACTAAATAATGAAATATGCAGATAATTTAACTTGGTGTAATATAAACCTAGTGCGAGACTACATATTACTAACGATCTTATTTGATCTGGATTGTCAATTGGATATTTTTTTGCTTGTTATTTTATGTCTATTTGTTGTATAGAATAGACATCAGTTAGAGCTAAACAATCTGGAGCTTTCACGCTAAAGGTGATTATTAACTTGTTTACCGCCATTGTGCCGTCTCATGCTAATGAAACTTTTGAACTCATTATGAGTGAGGCACATCTGAGGCCATGATCTGAATCTGAAGGTATCTTGATTATTATTCTAATTTTAGAAGTCTTTTGAACAAATTTTGATCAGGTGGATCAACTTGAAGGTACCTTTCCAGGAAGTGTATGGGGATGTCCGCTGCAACCTGAAGGAGGCAGTCCAGTTGGCTGGCCTTACATGGGAGGGGCGTGCTCACTGCGGGCTTGATGATGCCCGCAATACTGCTCGCCTCCTGGCACTTATGATGCACCGGGGTTTCAAGTTTTCTATCACCAACTCACTTATGTGGCAACCTGCTCCACAGTCAACAACTTGCCAATTATCCCCCGACCGCTCTCCAGATCCAGTCCAACAGCAGCAGAAACCAAAAGAGATGCTGGGATCTCCTGTGCAGGTTAACCCATACGCCACCTCTGCAGGGAAGGACAGAGCGATGTACTGTTACTGTGGAGCGCTGAGCAGGTGGAGCGTTGTGCGCAAGCCAGGACCCATGCAGGGACGGTACTTCTTTGGATGCGGAAACTGGACTGCCACGAGGCGGGCGATCTGCCCATACTTTGCATGGGCCTCGTGAAGGGGGCTGCAGTGCAAGCAGATCTCAAGGGGCAAAGGACCTGGTGCTTTAACTAAGGGAGGCGCTGCTCGTCCGCTGCGCCTCCCAATCCGTATATATTATGATATAAATTTGCTCATAAGACAATGGAAGTTCTCTAGGTAGTGTCTAACCTGTCATACTGACTTCTGTCGATAGAAGAGAATGGGGGCCAGATGCTGCTTAGGTGTGATCTATCCATGAATAATCTAAGTTTGTGGATTGCTGTTTTTAACTTAATGGAACTCGTAGGTGTGGTTTGTGCAACTTGAACTTGAAGGCTTGGTTTGCAGTTGTTCAGTGAGTGTTGAAAGTATTGATCAAATTAAAGGTGGTTTGTTGCTGAAATGGTAATGGAAACGCACAGGAAACAGGATTACGCGGACATGACGATGAATCAGTATCTGATTGAGCTGAGATTGGAGCCTTATCGGTTTTGCTAAGTGTGGTATCGGTTAACGGGGACTAGATTGCATGAAGGTGGAAACAAATACTCCATTCAGAAATGGTAATCGTATTTGATTTGAGGAAAAGTCACTTTATATATTTTAACCAACAATTAGTCAAATTGTATGAAAGTTTAGAGCATAAAAGTTGCATCAATATATTTGTGTTAAAAGTGCCCTATATAATACGATTATCGCTATCAAAGTATTACCTGGTTTTGGGCAAGTGTTCACATGCGAAGGAATTAGTCATTGTTTAGTTCCTCCTCTAAAGTTGAGTTCTTATCACATCGTTATGTTTACACATGCATAGAGTATTAAATATAGACTAAAAAATAACTAATTGCACAAATTGCGACTATTTTGTGAGATGAATTTTTTAAGCCTAATTAATCCATGATTTGACAACGTGATGCTACAGTAAACATGTGCTAATGATGGATTAATTAGGCTTAATAAATTCGTCTCGTGGATTACTGAAGACTTCTGTAATTTATTTTATTATTACTATACAAACACTTCCACGCGACACTCCTATGTGACACTTGATGTGACATCTCTAAACTTTAGCTCCTGAATTTAAACACCATCTTGCTGGCCCTGTTTTATTCCTGGCACTCGTTTAATGTGGTGGATCAGCCATATGCCTGGTTAGATGTTACTGGCAAAGCAATATGCTCATGCTAGTGTTCCTACCGAGTGAACAAAAATCCACCGATCAATTGACTCTTTACAAAAAGGAGGTTCTGCGATGATCTTTAAATGCTATAGAATTGATTTTATCTTGGAAAAGAAACTGCACACTAAGGTTATTTTTCAGTGAAGAGTTTTATGAGGATGTTTTCCAAACTACCACATCACGTAAAATGAAATAAAAAATGAATAAAACATACTATCCTGAATGTATAGTTTCATTCACTAGTTTCATATACATTTGATTTGATGACTTACGTAGAGTTGGTAATCGTAATAAGAGAGTTTCATTTAAATAAACTCACTCCTCTCTTCCTAAAAACGATGCTGTCATAAAAAAACACCTATGTGTAACGAAACTTATGAAATTTTCACTCTAACATGTCGCTGAGGTAAGCTTGCAGGCGGGTTGGTTCGCGGCCGGCCGCTAACCCGCATCGCTTGTCACAAAGTTTATTGATGGGTTTGCGGCCAGTCACTAAGTTATCTACTTTGTAGGGTAAGCCTTCCGCGGACATAATATACTTAGCTGCCAAACCCACAGGGCCTGCCGCACACACAACATCCCTCAAATATCTGGTGGCCAACAAGTGAAAGAAAGCTGCGAGGTACACGAACAAGATCATAATAACGGGCACATGACCGGCACAACGACAAACCAATTGACCTTGTCGGCGCCGTCTTGGAGCGTGGCGAGCGTCGTCGACACGAAGGCGCCCATCGATCCATGCATATGCAGTTAGCTTGCTAGCTATAGCTCTCAAATGACAAATCGATCTCTTCACTGGGAAATACGTACGTGTAGGCGCATATATACATACGATACGTACGTCGATGCAGGCCTTGTGGAAGCGGCTCATCGGCCGCAGGGGCAACTCGTCGCCGGTGTCGTCGTCGGATTCCTCGTCGGCCTCGTCATCGGGGACCTCGAGGATGAGGCGCGCGTGGCAGTTGTGATGACGACGACGGCCTCGAGCTATGGGCCACTGGTGTTCGTCGTCGTGGAGGAACAGCCATAGAGCCTCCGCCCGATGCCAGACTATCGTGACGACACTAGCGGTAGGGTTCGGAAGATGCGGGTTCTAACAGCTTTCTCTATTGTCCAACGGGCTCGGCGGGTTAAAAGACGTCGAGCCACGAAGAAATCGCAGCTGAGCCACAGTAGCCACGAAGATAAATTTTGCAGGGCGAGCGGACGGGCTACGCTAGCAACCTGCCCCGCCTGCAATCGTACGCTGAGGCCTAAATCGCCTTTTAAACAGGGTCAACGGTCCAGCCAGACTGAAACAGACGTAGTGGTAGCACCACGTACCACTATGACACCTGCTTCACAACAAACCACAAGCATCCCGTCAGTGTAACTGCAACCGGGAACGGAGCACGCTCACTGCTCACAATCTACGGTGGAGCACGAACGCGGACGGATCCTCTGCATCCAATCTACGGCGCTTTCCTTTTCAAAAGAAGAAGGTACCGCGATTTGCATTGGCTTGACAGCAACAGTCCAGCGGAGTGAATTCCTGTCCGGCGTGCGCGGAGTGGACAGCACCCGCCGCTTAAACCCCGCTACCTGAGCACCCGCCGCTCGCCACAGCAGAGCACACCACCCACCAGCTCCGGCGCCATGTCCCGCCCCGACACGACCTCGCTCCTCTACCCCTCGCCGCCGCTGGCAAAACCCCACCCGCGCGGCCGTTTCCTCTGCCTCCTCTCCTCCATGCTCGCCGTCCTCGGCGCCTCCCTCGCGGTGCTCCTCTTCTGCGCCCAACCCGGTGCCGAACTACGAGGCGCTCTTCCTCTCCCTCGGATCCAACGACACCGCCGCCTCGCACCTACGAGCGCTCACTCTCCATCCGCACGTCGCGGGGACCAAGGCCAACGCCCTCACCGCCCGCTACGTGCTCGACGCGCTCTCCTTCCCCGCCCACATCACGCCTTACTCCGTCCTCCTCTCCTACCCCGTCCACCGCTCCCTCTCCCTTTCGGCGCGAGGCCGCGGCGTCGTCACCTCCTTCTCCCTGAAGCAGGAGACCTACCCCAACGACCCCTACGCAGCCGCCGCGGCGGAGACCATCCCGACGTTCTACGCCTACGCGGCCTCCGGGTCGGTCTCCGCGGAGGCCGTGTACGCCAACTACGGCCGCGAGGAGGACTTCGCCTACCTCGCCTCCCGCGGCGTGGACGTCGCGGGTAAGGTCGCGCTCGCGCGGTACGGGAGGATCCACTGCGAGGACATCGCGCGCGCCGCCGGCGCCGCGGCCGCGGCTGTGTACACTGACCCGCTGGAGTACGGCGGCGCACCCGGTGAGCGGTGGTTCCCCTACTCGCGGTGGCTGCCGCCCAGCGGCGTGCAGGTGGGGAGCCTGTTCCGGGGCGTGGGCGACCCGACGACGCTGATGTGGGCGTCGTCCGAGGGCTGCGAGCGCGTCAGCGTGGAGGAGGCCATGAACACCGATGACATGCCGCTCATCCGGGCGCTGCCGGTGTCGGCTCAGGACGCAATGGAGATACACAGAGCCATGGGCGGGGCCATGGCGCCGGCGGACTGGCAGGGCCGAGAGGGCAGCCCCGTGTACCGCCTCGGCCAGCGGAGGATCCAAGAAAAAATTTAGGGGGCTGAACAAAAGTGCGATAGCAACGTATCTCACTCGAAGTCTTAGCCCCCACCTACACAATAGAACTTTGCTTAAAAATTTATGGGGCCTCAGCATCGGTAACAAAAGTGCGATAACACAATAGAACTTTGCTTAAAAATTCATGGGGCCTCAGCATCGGTAGGGGGGCTCGAGCCCCCCCCCCGTTGAATCCGCCGCTGGCCTCGGCCCCGGGCCGGCAGTTTTGAACCTAGTATCTGGTATGTACAATTCGATTCGAGGAACCTTCGTCTTTTCGGTTCATTGCCTTGGGGCTTGACGCTATTGTTTTGGATTTTGCAGGGGAATGATACGATGGCAACGATTGAGAATGTCTTTGCCATTATCGAAGGCGCCGAAGAGCCCGATAGGTAACTAATTCCTTTTTTTATCTTGTTATTATTAGGTAACAAATTCTTGGTGGAATGTGACGTTGCATCTTTTTGTTTTGTCAAACCTGTGAAGTTCACGCAGCACACTTGGGCAGTTGAGAGCACTACTTTTGTAGTGCTGTCGTTGACCTTATATACTAGATTATAGAAGGTTAAAGAGGGGACTCTAAGCTTAGGTGTCATTTAGATCTACGAACTTTGAAAATGTATTTCGGAGTCTGTAAAAGTGATATGAAATTGTAAAATGGTACATGGTAAGTCTATTTGTGGACCATAGCGACCATTGCGGTGCATAACTTAACAAATTTAGAGACTAGAAATGTATTTTCAAAGTTTATGAACCTACTAAGTGGCATCCTTGACAAGTTTGCGGACTGCTCATGCATTTTAACTCGTTGTTATACAAATATAAAAAATGGAAGTATCTGATAAGGAATTATAGAAGGAAAAAGAAAGCTAATAAGGAATTTATTGTATATAGAAGAAAAATAGGTGTCCTATAAAGGTGTGCACGGCATGGACGCGTGGTACTACAAAATTCTATAATCATGTATACTCCTTAATTTTTTAAACCTGTTAGCATATCCTATAGAGGATAGGGTCCACTTGCAGATCGGAAAGTTCTGCAGGTACATCATTATTTTGGAAAAGACATATACTATGTGATTCAACCACTCCGACTTTTCATACATGTTCAGGTTGGCTTGGGATGACCATTTGTTGGCCTTCCTTGTAATGTACAGTAGCTATGAAAATCTTTGCTTCAAGAGAAAAAAAAATAGCTAAGCACAATTAAGAACCAGATGCATAAGGTCAAGCTCTTTTGTTCTTTTAATTTATTGGAAACTCTTTCACTGAAGGCTCATTTTAGATGGGTAGCTCTTGTAGTATCTCTCAGCCTCTCATGACTGTAAAAGGATTTCCTTGAAAGCAAACTTTTTTTTAACAAACAAAAACAAACAATTAGACTCAGTCCTAGCCTCCGAGGTACTCAGAGTTTAAACAAATATTGAGGAGTATCAATCTGCTTATCTGCATATAGGCGTTCGCACAATTTAACCACATTGAATATTATATATATATTTTTTTGAAGAGCGGGCCTGGTGCAAGCGGTAGAGTCTTACCGCCTGTGACCGGAAGGTCCCGGGTTCGAGTCGCGGTCTCCTCGCTGCTTGCCACTGACACCCTTCCCCAGACCCCGCACAGAGCGGGACCTCTCTGCACTAGGTACATCCTTTTCTGCCAAATATGTGACTGAACTGAGAATTTTTAACATTCTGTGATCCAGATATGTCATTCTTGGTAACCATCGTGATGCTTGGACGTTTGGTGCATCCGATCCCAACAGTGGAACAGCAGCTATGATTGAGGTAGTCATTAGTTACAAAATGTCTTCGGTATACTTTAGTACGCTTTGTTTTTGTTTACCTACTATGTCAGAATACTGATTACAGTAGTTTAGAGCAGGTACTAGCCATGTCCTTGTTTAATACCTAGCGCTAGGTGCCTTGCCTAGGTCTTCGCTTGTTGCTGGGGCTTTAACCCCTCCCCTTCTGTTTTTGAGGAAATCTGTGGCCCTGGTCTTCTGGCCGTGTCTTGTACATAAAACTGCTTCCTCTTAATTAAAAGGCAGAACTCCTGCCATGTTCGTTTTTTTAAAAGGCCATGTCCTCTGAATAGTTAGCTGAAGTGACTGAACCTTAGTTCCATTTCATGTTTCTATGCCTGACCTCAATATTGTACTGTACATGATACACGATCTGCTACTTATCTGGCTCATAACATGTTATTTCACTCTTTGTCCATCTAGTTAGCTCAAAGGTTTTCAATGCTGCAAAAGCAAGGGTGGAGACCTCGAAGAACCATTATCTTCTGTAGTTGGGATGCGGAAGAATACGGACTGGTGTGTTTCTATCTCTGAACCACTCTTGTCCGTCTTTAAAACAGCAAGATTGATCACATTTGCATTTAATTTACTCAGACAGGATCTACTGAATGGGTTGAAGAAACCTGGGAGATGTTATATTCTAGAGCTGTTGCTTATCTGAATATTGACGTTTCAGTCGTTGGTCCAGGATTCCTGCCTTCTACAACTCCCCAACTCGACGAGTTACTTCACCAAGTAACTAAAGTGGTATGTCCGTCCTACCTGAAAGTAGTGATAATAGCATACCCAGGAAGAGGGAAAACATGATACTATAGTTAACTTTGTTTGCTTTTGGTCTCCATGTTAGTAGTCAACAATATGAATATAGTATTTTCCTTGTTAAGATGCCCAAAATTTTAACTGCTCTTTGTCAAATTGTGAAGGTTCAAGATCCTGATAATTCATCTCAGACTGTGTATGATTCATGGATTAAATCGAGCATTCCTCCCCAGGTGAGTTGTTGCAACTTGCTTATCCAACAGTCTACCCTCTATGTAGTGCTGAGGACCCATTTAGTTGTCACTATTATATAGTGATTGCATTGTTATCAAGCTACAAGTTCCTTTGAGTGTCAGTTCCATCCCTCAAGAATTATGTGGTTTCAGGAGAGGAAACCACTTCTACTTCCTGACAAATTATATAACATTACTCACTATTCACTACGTATCTCCTGCATTAAGGTTCTAAGACTAGGTGATGGAGGATCAGACTATTCAGCATTCGTCCAACATGTTGGTATTCCTTCGATGAATATAATTTTTGGTGAAGGTAATGCCCCTGCTATTTGCTATTTGCTTGCTCAGTGACTCTTGTATTTTTCAATGAACTTTCCTGGGCAATTTTGCTTTTGTAGGACCAGGATATCCGGTTTACCACTCCTTATATGATGACTACATATGGATGGCAAAATTCGGAGATCCTGGGTTCCGTAGGTATGTGGCAGGTCTGCTCAATGATACTGTTTTTGTGCAGAATATTAGTTGAGGTGTTATCTGCGCCACTACGACACGATAAACCAAGATTCTTCATCTTGCAGCTGCTAGCATATGGGGAATGATGGCTTTGAGGTTGGCAAATGAAGAGATCCTACCCTTCAATTACATGTCCTATGCAATTGAGCTTGAGGTAAGACGTCTCCAGTGTTCACAAAATGCTGCTTCTGACCTTCTGTAGGCCAGTAGAGCCACTCAGACACAGGGGACAGAGGAAAATTAACATAGATGTCCTTGTTGCTATGGAAACATGATGAAGCCCTAAATTTCTTCCGGTGGCAGGAATACACAAAGGCGGTAGAGAATGAAGTGAAGGGAACAACTGTCACTTGTTCCCCACTGTACAACTCAATCAGAACTCTCAGAGCGGCAGCTACCAAAGTGAATAGCGAACAAAAGGTACTTTCACTTGAGAATTGCTGCTCGAGTTATGCAGAACTTACAGTCTACCATACTGCGTTTTGTGCACTGTGATGACTAAGAGACATGGGCACTTTCAGGAACTTAAAAAGCAACTCTTGAGCAAGCAGCTGAACAAGGATTCACTGAAAATCCAACAGCTCAATGACCGGCTTATGCAGACCGAGTGAGCATTCACTAGCAGGGAAGGCATCTTCAAGCTAGAATGGTTTAAGCATCTGATGAGCAGATACTCATGCGCAAAGCACTCACCTTCCTCTCTGGAAATTGCATAAGGCTCGTACACACGGCTTATAGTTATACTAACAGTAAGTGTTCCCATCCATAGGTGTATGGACCTTCAGATCAGAATGACTGGGATACTGCGATCTATCCCGGTATAGCCAAAGCAATAGCCAGCGCTCGGAGCAGCAACACTTCGGAGTCGTGGAAGTTTGTACAGCATGAGGTCTACAGAGTGGCCAGGGCCGTGACACAAGCATCTGCTATACTGAGTGGTCGTCTGACATGATAGGATTCAAACCATCTTCGTTAAGAAAAGGAGATTGGAATCATCTATTAAAAAACAATCAGACAATAGAACTGCTGATTATATTAAAAAGAAGTAGTTTCCTGGGCTGAGTCTACAACCGAGCAACAATAACCTTAAAAGGGTCAAGCAGCAGCATCAGCAACTAACTAAGCTAACAGCTATATGCAACTAACCATGGTGGCCGAATGGATTGAGGCCTCAACACATGCCAAACAACTGTTTGCGCGGTGGATCAACTAGGGTAGATCTAGGCGGATGACACTTGGATCCGTAATAGCACATGCATATCTAAACCTAGAACACTACACCGAGAGGGAGATAGGGTAAGGGTGCTGGTGTTGAACCTGAGCCCTCGGAGGGAGTCGCGGTTGAGCTGGCCATCTCAGCTTTGGTGATGGAGGCAGCACACGGGCAGCGACGGGTGGAGTAGAGGTTGCACGGACGTCGATGCAGTGCAGACGGACGACGTAGCAGTGACGACGGCGAAGTCAGCGGAGCTTCCCGTCGCTGGCTGCGCGCCCTCTTAGATCGGTCTAGGGTTTGTCGGTGGGGTTTGCGGCTCACGACGAACCTCGTACCTCGAGCCGCCGGCCCCCACCTCTTTATATAGCGCAGTGCGACGGGGGCCCACCAACCATGTAGGGTTGGGCGCCCCCGATCAGAGCGCGTGACCAATGCCCAATAGGCCGTTGGGCTTATTGGCTGGGAGATCAATCTAACATTCTCCCCCTTGATCTCACACTATTACTTTTATCTTTAAACTTTAAACTTCAATCATTTTATCCTTACTCATTTCTTCACAGATGATGCATAGAGCATGTTTCATCGTCACGGTCAATCGCTGATAGATTTAACAGCTACAATGCACGTCTCTGATCTGAAATAGTTACTTTAACTTTTGGGCCCTTTATAGTCCAAGAATCATAGGCTTTCCCTTAAACCCATGCCGGCTACATGTTCTCTGAACACGTTAGGTGGTAAGCTTTTTGTAAGCGGATCCGCGAGCATCTTTTCGGTACTTATATGCTTAAGACTTATCATTTGATCCCGAACTTTATCCTTCACAACATAATACTTTATGTCAATGTGTTTGGCAGCACCATTTGACCTATTGTTGTGAGCATACTGTACTGCTGGATTATTATCGCAGTATAACTTCAGTGGTCTATTGATGTCGTCAACCACCTTCAAACCGGGTATGAACTTCTTAAGCCAGTTCACCTGCCCCGTTGCCTCATAACATGCTACAAACTCGGCATACATTGTGGACGATGTAGTGACGGTTTGCTTTGAGCTTTTCCATAAAATAGCTCTCCCTGCGAGAGTGAACACATATCCAGACGTTGATTTTCTATTATCTCCCGCATAATCAGAATCTGAATATCCCACTATATGAAGTGAATCAGATCTTCTATACGTCATCATGAGGCCTTTCGTTCCTTGCAAATAACGCAAGACTTTCTTTATTAATTTCTAGTGTTCTATTCCAGGATTGCTCTGGAATCTGCCAAGTAACCCGGTAACAAATGCCAAGTCAGGGCGCGTGCATATTTGAGCATATTGCAAGCTTCCGACAGTTGAAGCATATAGAACCACTTTCATTTGATCGATCTCATATTGGTTCCTGGGGCATTGAAAACCCCCATATCTGTCGCCCTTGACTATAGGAGCAGGTGAGGGACTACATTTGTGCATACTGAATTTCTTTAAGGATTTTTTCTATGTATGCCTTTTGTGACAGTCCTAATACCCCTTTACTTCTATCTCGGTGAATCTCGATCCCTAGAACGAACGAAGCTTCACCAAGATCTTTCATATCAAATTTTGAGGACAAAAACTTCTTTGTCTTCAGTAGTAGACTGACATCACTACTAGTAAGTAAGATATCATCCACATACAGGACAAGGAAGATAAACTTCCCATTCTTAAACTTTGCGTAGACACAATTGTCCTCAACATTATCTTTAAACCAAAAATTCTTTATTGTCTGATCAAACTTCAAGTATCACTGTCTTGAAGCTTGTTTTAATCCATAAATGGATTTCTTTAGGCAGCATCCCAAACGTTCTTTTTCTTCCATGACAAAACCTTTCGGTTGTGCCATGTAAATATTTTCTTCTAAGTCTCCGTTGAGAAATGCCGTCTTTACATCCATCTGATGTAATTCTAAATCGTAATGTGCCACTAATGCCATTATGATTCTGAAGGAATCCTTACATGAGACTGGAGAAAAGGTCTCATTGTAATCAATTCCTTCTCTTTGTGTAAAGCCTTTTGCCACAAGTCGGGCTTTATATCTCTCTATATTCCTTTGAGAGTCAAGTTTTATTTTGTAGACCCATTTACAACCTACTGTTTTGACTCCTTTAGGAATTATCTCCAAATCCCAAACTTTATTTGCATTCATTGATCTCATCTCATCTTTCATGGCCTCAAGCCACTTTGATGAATGGTCACTTTTCATGGCTTTTTCAAATGAGGTGGGATCATCCTCCATTTGAAATTCTTCAGTGTTGTACACTTCATAATCAGCAGGAATAGCTAATTTTCTAACTCTTTGAGACCTTCTAGGGGCCTCCTCATTTGGCTCATTTTCTGTTTGAGGCTGTTGTTGCTCCCCCTCATGTGTGGCAATAGTTTCTATAGGATCCTGAGGAACAGGTTCCTCATCATCATTCATTGTTGCCACAGGCAGGATAACAACAGGTGCTGACACCATAGTGTCTTGTACTGTCGGTGCAGTAACAGCAGGTAGTGAGAAAAATGGCTCATGAATGATCGGAGTGGGTGCATACACCCGCTTCTCTTCAAGGTCAATTTCTCGAGCTACCATGCTCCCCCTAATCATTTCATCCTCTAGGAAGACAACGTGTCTCGTTTCCACAAACTTTGTATGTCTGTTAGGACAGTAGAAACAAAAACCTTTTGACTTTTCTGGGTAGCCAATGAAATGGCAACTCACTGTTTTGGGATCCAGCTTCCCAATGTTTGGGTTAAAAACTTTAGCCTCAGCAGGGCTCCTCCACACACGCAAGTGGTTAAGTGAGGGTACTCTTCCTGTCCACAACTCATACGGTGTTTTGGGCACCGACTTACTTGGTACTCTATTGAGAATATGAATGACGGTTTTTAACGCCTCTATCCACAGACTCATCGGTAAAGTGGAGTAACTTATCATACTACGCACCATATCCATCAGGGTACGGTTACGCCTTTCAGCTACTCCATTCTGCTGAGGTTCGCCCGGTGTGGAATACTGGGCTACTATGCCATTCTCCTGTAAGAACCTTGCAAAAGGTCCAGGAACTTGGCCATATGGGGTATGCCGACCGTAGTACTCTCCCCCACGGTCAGACCTGACTATCTTAATCTTTAAATCATGCTGATTTTCAACTTCTGCTTTAAATATTTTGAATTTATCCAACGCTTCTATTCTTTCTTTAATTGGATAAATGTAGCCAAACCGAGAGTAATCGTCTGTAAAAGTTATGAATGAATCATAACCATCCACACTTTTCACAGGAAAAGGACAACAGATATCTGTGTGAATAATCTGTAGAATTCCTGCGCTTCGTTTGGCATCTTTCTTAATTTTCTTTACATACTTTCCTTTTATGCAATCTCTACATTGTTCTAAATCTGAGAGCTCTAATGTAGGAAGAATATCATTCTTAACTAGTCTTTCTATTCTTCCCCTCGAAATATGGCCTAAACGACAGTGCCATAATTTCAACAACGCATCATGAGCTCTCTTTCGTTTTCTGTTTGCATTGTTCGATGATGATACATTCTCATTCACATCACATACGGAATTCACATTTTCATGAAGTGATAACAAATAAAGCTCGTCTTGTCGGAAGGCAAGACCAATACATCTATTATTAAACAATATCTGACATTTGCCATTTCCAAAATGACAATCATAACCATCATGGTCCAACTTTGATACACTAATCAAGTTTCTTTGCAAAGAAGGTACATAAAGAACATCTCTTAGAATAAGTATGAAGCCATCAGCAAGCTCTAGAGGAAGATCGCCAACGGCCTCAACATCTGCTTGTACTCCATTTGCGATTTTAATGAAACTTTCGCTTCTTTGCAAAGTTCTCATCGAATGGAATCCCTGTAATGAATTAGCAACATGAATAGTTACACCTGAATCAATCCACCAAGTAGATTTTGAAAACTTTACATACAAGGATTCATTTACGAACGTAATAATGTTCTCACCTTTATTTTTCATAATCATCTTTAGGAAATCGAGACAATTCTTCTTATAATGTCTCGTCTTCTTACAGTAGAGACACTGATCTTTATCCACTGAGAATTGCTTGTTCTGAGACTGTTGCATGGGACCCTTTCCAGATGACTTGGAGGAAGAGCTGTTGTTATAGTTCTTTTTCTTATCTTTTAGGTAGTTAACACTACCACCCTGTGAAACTTTTATTCTTTCCTCCTCCTGCACACACATGGCTATGAGCTTTTCTAAATCCCATTTTTCAGGCTGTATGTTGTAATTAACAACAAATGTGTCAAATTCTTTGGGCAAAGAAGCAAAAATCAAATGAATAAGAAACTCATCCTTGAGTGCCAAATCCATTGGTTTGAGCTTAGATGCCAGATTGCTCATTCTCAGTATGTGCTCTCTAATGCCACTGCCGCCACCAGAGTACCTTTCTATTACCAGCTGCTTGATCAGCTGGGTTGCATATGTCTTTGAAGAGCCAGTAAACTGACTCTTTATTCTTTCTAGGTACTCTGTGACCGTGTCACAGTCTAGAATTGAGCCCACTATTGCAGGCTCAATTGTGTTCTTTATCACTGCCAAACACTTCTTGTTGGCAATGACCCATTTCCTATGCTCAAGGTCATAGGACATCTTTACGGGAGCAAAGTCCCGCTCTCTGTTCTGCCATGCAGCATCAGTCTCATCTGTCTCCCTCACCGGTGCCATAGGTTCTCTAGGACATGGTGTGGTG